CATGTGGTGAGGCTGGAAACAGAGAACTCTGTCTATCTGCTTTGGAAAAGAGTCAGAAAGTTTCTTACAGTGTTTTTAAATAGCAGGGTGCTGTTGTAGTGTTCAACATTTCAAATCTGTAAAATGATTCTTGTGTAACTTTCTCATGATGGACTGTGCTGCCTCTTGGTTTTGATGTCCTCTTTCAAAACCAACAGCTCATTTCCTCTTTACATGTCAAATTGTCCTCAGCTGTAGGGTTTCTGTAAATACCTTACTTAGGCTACAAAGAGCTAGAGTTTGTGATTAAAAAAAATAAATTTGCTTAACATTTTCTTTCTTATCTGTTTTCCTATTCTGTTTCTAACTTACCCCCCTAAAATTTCTTTTTATTTCAGTATTTCACTTGTTATGAGCCCTGCTCAACTTAGAAAAGCCTAAAAATATGTGGTTTTCTTATCCTACGGTTTCAATGCATTTTGATATAGGTGGCTATGCAGCAAATATGGCAGGTCTGAAAGACTGAGCAGAGCCCAATCCTACATTTAATAATATTGTGAGTAGCCCACTTTCCCTGTAGCAAGTACTCCTCACCTCTGCTATTAGTTGCTGGATAAAAGCTCTGAGGAGAGTTTCTCTCCTGTATTTTACAACTGTTTGTTTTTGTAACTAAATATATTTGTTTCCTTACTAGAAGCCGTAGCTGTCTCTGGAGTTTACCTGTATTTTCCTCTATAAAACCATCTATAGTTTCATCTTGATTTATATTTGCTGAGTGAGACGTTCAGATATGTCTGTCAGTTCAGTCAAACTCTTTCAAGACATTTATTCTGTGAAAGGCTTTGATGGAAAACAGTGCATTAAAAAATGGGATTTTTTAGTGTCATTTCATCGAGATTAGTTTTCCTGGCTGATATTACTTGTAGCCAATGGTGCCTGAATCCCTTTTGATTTAGTTTTAAATGACTCCTGATATAAATGTCTTCAGGACTCCTGCCAAACAGTATACTACTATTTCCCTGTCCTTTATTTCAACCAAAACCTTGTAATGTACTTTTATTGTTTTGACTGTTTGTGACATTGATTTTGAAGGATTTTTAATATACAATAGAGCATCGTATTTACTCAAAACATGAAAAACTGCAGTAAATGTTTCTTCATAAACAAGTCCTTTTGTTGGTATATAGGTACTATTAGACTCTATCTAATGGAGATGGTCTGTGTGACCATGTTGGATGTGATGTATAGTATTAAGTCTTTTGTATGAATTCACTGGTAGTTAGAAAATTTATACAATAGAGTGACTGCATACTTTTTAACCTTCTTAAGTCTGTTTTTTTAGTCTCTCTTCATGCTTTCAAAACGTGGGACAGAATTTAAGGTAAATTTCCTGTTGGAAGAATTAATATCTTCATTGCCTAATACAAAAGCAGCTAAAATTACTCTGGGAGGGTCTTACAGGGGTTTGGGATGCAAAAATACTGAAAACATTCATAACTAGGGAAATTTCACTCAGTTATTTGCTCTTAGCCTCTGACTTTCCTGAAGAGTGATTTTATGTGGAGCACGTTCAGATATCATGGTTTTGTAGGAAATTAATGTCAGGTAACAAATTACTGGGAATGAATTATCCAATGTACTAACAATTGTTCAGATCCAGATGCTCCTCAGGCACTGTCAGCATAAACACAGCTGAAACTCTAATTTCTGAGTGTTGCCTGTTATTGCAGATTTAATGTCCTGCTTTACACAGTTTGTACTGAAGGAGCTAGAAAAAGGCTGCCTGGTAGCTGACTCCTTTGGGAATCCCTGCTAAAATAAAATGTATATTTCATAAAGCCATCCCAGAGAACGAAATTTTAAGTAAACATACATTTTAAATGAATAAGCAATTGTCTACTGGGAAACTGTGTATGGAGCTTTATTTTTAGATATATGTACTCGTATTTCAGGTTGGGGAATTACCCACATAATCCACAAATAGAGAACATGCTAGTTAATTCTCAACATGCCTCTAAACACAGTCTTGAAAGCTAAATTAGTAAACAGTATAGCAAGGGTATTCTCTGCATAATGCTCAATTTCACTTCAGTCAAGTCAAAGCTCTATTATTACAGGAGAGTGTTTTATTGACGTATAAACTTTGCAATGGATCTTGCTGAATATTCCTGGAGAGCACATTTTAACTGGAGTTACCTGCAGTGACCCTAAGGTAGCAGTATATTTAGAATATTTTTGAATATTGATATGTATTTGTCTGGCACAGTTTCTGTAGTCATAATTCAAATTGAGTAGGTTGGTTTGTCAGAGGCTGGACACAGTGAATGTTTAATCTCTCATGACTTGAAACATCTGTGGGGTACATGCCTGAGGTAGTTATTCAGGCTCCCCTTATTTTTAGTGTGAGAAATAGATACTTTTGTAATGTATTCAGGTGGTTTGTTTTACCTCTCTGCTTAGGATGAGACCTCTTAGTCCCTGGCCTCTGTCATCTACATTGACTACGCACAGAGACAAGGATGGCTGCTTCAGATCTAGATGCCTGTCTCCAAGTGGTCACAGAAACTCTAGCAATGCTGACTAGCAAGACTTCTTTTCTTTGGGATAAAATGCTACAGTTGCATCTTTAATATTAATAATTTGTTAGAATTCAGCTTGGTTTTATATGTTCGTGTGGGAAAATTGGACCTGAGTGATAAAGGAAGAAAATTCGATGAATTATTCAATGCTTTTCTCTTTCTTCATTTCTATAGTTCAAAAGAGCTATAAATAAAGGCATTTATGTATGTGTGTATGTATATATATATATATTTGGAAAAAGTCTTTAGGACAAGGTGAACACAGCAATTTCTTTGTTGCTTTTTTGCACTGCAGTTCAAGCTTGCTGCTATGATACCTTTTCTGAACGGATTGCATCAGTCTAAAAGAATAGATTGTCGAGTATGTCAAAGAACTAAAATAAAAATAAAATAAAAAGAATGTCTTCAGATCCGGACCCTTCATCCTTTTAAATCCTCTCGCATTTTCAGAAAGCACTCAGATCTTACTGCTGCCTTCAAAAAATAGCCACATTAAAATTAGCAGCACTCAAAGACAAGTTAGAGGACCATTGCAAAAATTTTAAGGTACACAGCACATCCTGTGCCCATAGAATCATAGAATGGCTTGGACTGAAACAGACCTTAAAGATCATCTAGTTCCAACTCCCCTGCCTTGGGTAGGGGCACCTTTCACTAGACCAGGTTGCTCAGAACCCCATCCAACCTGGCCTTGAATGCTTACAGGGATGGGTACATAATTAGCAAGTCACAGGGGGGTGTGGTTTTCTGATTCTTTGTTAATAAGACTTAGCAACTGTACCTCTTTTATATATAATAAGAGTTCTTATTAACAATGAAAGGCATATATGGTTTCAAATGTATTACTTCTCCTTTGTCCTTGTCTTGCACTTCTCTGTGAGTAGGAAAAGAGGTCACTTGAGAATTAGACGCAGTCAAGAGCGTGGTCTGACAGGGCTGTGTTTATTCCAGCTTTCAACCAGGAAGAGTCACTGTGAATGGATTCCTCTGCTGTCTGCCATGTGCTTGCTGCATAACCACACCACTGCCTCCATTGTGAGGACTTAGTGTAGCAGCTTCTTGTCTAATTTGATGATGGAATGAAATCAAAGTTTCCTGGAACTACAGGAAAAACACACAGAAAAGATAAAGATTTCATGGTGCCTTGATCATACATTTTCCCACCTGGTGCCATGTATTTTTTATACTGCTTATATCAATACCCAAAATCACATCAATATCCAGAAAAAGATTAATCCCAAGTTCAACAGGCCAGTATAGAACTAGAAGATTCACTATAACTAGATGTCATTTTATTTCCGTCCTGTGGCAGAAGGGACTCAGTATTTAAAATGTGTATAACTGGAGAAAATGTCAGTGTATGCAGTGTGGTTAAAACAGGCCCTGGCTCGGTGTAAGTTTGGATGATGAACTGTTCAGATTTGAGCAGGCAAACACAGAAGCTGCCAAGATAGAAGGCTGATGACTGAGCATAAGCAGGAGGAAAACCCTGCTTCTTGGACAGTTCTTATTTTCTTCATACTTGGTTTCTTTTTCATTTTATCTTTCTTTTCCTTTTCAATACGTCAGCTGCAGCTTAGTGGGATACTTGGGTAAACAAAGGATGCAGGTCTTACAGTTCACTGGACTTAATAGTTTTCAGTTAAAAAAGAAAGGAGATCACTATTGCTCATACACTGTGATTTGCTATTGCAACTCTTTTTATGTTTGTAGGTGTTGTCATATTTTTTCAAGCACTTGTATAATAGTATAGTAAAGAGGTATGAGGGGTAGATGTAGGTAAACACTGATATATTAATTTGGACCACTATGTGAAGTGTAAAATTTATATTTAAGTTGATGTACAAAATACGTTTTGTGTATGCCGATTTATTTAATTTTTTTGTCTGATACAGAAACTACCTAAATTTAGCATTTTTAAAAATAAAGAACCCATGTAGGTCATGAGATGTTAGATCTCCTTCCTTCCCTTTTATTTCTGGGCAACATGGCAGTAACAAGAGATCATGAGAGTCTTTATAAATAAAATGCGTGCTTTAGCAAACAAAAAAAGATTATGAATTTTCTGATCAATGCTCTTAGGAACTGGTTTTTTTTGCACTGATACTGTATTACAAATGATAGACTACATCATAACTTAACAAAGGCATGTCTGCTCACTTCCAGCTGATGATATCAAAAATAACTTCAAGTAGCAGCATTTTGAATTGTTAATTGTACTGTTGTTCTATGCTGAAATCCTTGACCTAAATATTTATGAGGAATTTGGTTCTACAGTACATTACATTAGTGCCCTGCAGTAGGGCCATGTAAACAAGAGCAACTGTGATTATTCACATGCTCCCAGAGACAGTGGCAGTGTGGGGGAGTGGGAACTCTGAGCCCCTGGATCCTGGAGGTTTCTCTCTTGCTCATTTTCTGTGTCTCATTCTCTCTCTGCAGATCAAACATTCCCTGAAGTGTGGTAGAAGGCAGGAAGAATGACACTTGCTAATTTGAATTTCAGAAAGCACCTAAACCTCATTCTGATCTCCAGGTAAGTGTCTGTGAGCCACTTGGCTTTGACACTTGTTAAAACTTAATCACATATCATTTTGGTGCCAAGCTACCTTATGCAGACCAAAGAGAGGAGCATGAGTGCACATGGGTTTGTGTTTGTGGGGGAGGGAGTGCTTCATTTGTTTGTGCAGACGATGTGAATTGAAAACAACAGTACTCTGGAAGACATGAGATAAGCTTATGAAAAAGAAGGAGAGATTTAGTGACAAACTGAAAACCTTAAACTACAGGTGATCTGATGCAGTTGCTCTATGTGAGATCTCAAGAAGGAAACACCTGGGAACATGTAAATTACTAATTTAGATCAGGCTTTATTTTCTTTTATTCATTCTCTTCCTCTTCCCCCAAAGTGCTTTTTAAAAACACCCTCAGGGTGTCATGGGCTATATCAAAGTCCTTTCTTAAGCCGTAGCTGTCAAAAGTAAAGGAGAAGGAAAACAATTAACATATTCTAAATGTCAATGGTAACTAGGGTATCTCTAGCTATCTCTTTGGATAGCTATAAAGAAGTTTCCAACATGTTATCAATACTGTGAAGCTCAATATTAACTACCTAAAGGGTGTATATAATGACCAGTGATTCAGAATGAAGACTTCTGCTTTAGATGCTTATCCTCATTTTCAGACTGAAGACTGCAAAATATTTTCCATGCTTTCACTTACATTTGGAAAAAAATTCATTTCAGTCAGGACTGGGCTGCTTCTTTTGGAAGTATTTGAGCTATTAATTTTACCAGCCTGAATGCTTGTGGGAGGTCTGTTGCATGATTTTACTCAAATATTGCATACACCAAAAGTGCTATGCTGAGATAACCACCTATGTTGGTGCTGATGCAAGATTGACTCACTGTCTGCTTTAGATATCAGACAGATACAGTTTGGTGCACTAAAATTTAGGAGCCTGTGTTCCTCATAGGGTCAGTGGAAAGGGGTGGGCACCTCTGAAGGATGACTTGTGCAAACTGCCAAGGGGAACAGTATCAGTTTAGTGGTATGTTTAGTAATAGCAGAGTCAGCTAGCCTATTTTATGCTCATTTAAATAAGGCTTAATGAATTCCCAGGCTCCCTGGCAGGGGTGCTGCATGGGATGTGGGGCATGTGATTGGTGAAGCAGGAAAACAGACCTGGAAAATGCTGTGCCATCAAGGTACTGGAGATCCTGTATGACAGCGCAGAAGAGAGCAGAGGTGTGTAATACCTTAAACATATTTTCCATCAAATGATTACATGCAGCAGCCCTGCTGTGTCCCATGTACTCTCTGGAACAGGATGATATATGAACACCTAACAGTTTTGAACTATGTAAAATATTGTTAGCAGGCATAGTGACCTTGTCTAGGATGTTCAAAAGCAAACCAAAAAGGGTGCAAATGAGGATAGTTTGTTTTCCATATTTTTGCTGGACAGGAGAGCAAAATGTTCTTAAACTGTAGCAGAGAAGACTCCAGTGAGACACAAGAAAAGTCTTTCTTAGCAGCACTGAAAGAGGCTGTGTACATGCTGTGAAGTTGTCCCTGGGAATCTCTAACTCAGGAAAATACATCTGGTGTGTCTGCCATGGGGGCTGAGCCACTGTTGAGCCTGTGGTGAGGGCTGGCAATAAGATGGTGGTATCAACAGCTGAGATGTGAGCTGCACTAAACACCCGGGCCATATCCAGGAGATGATTTGCTATAAAGGGCAGTTTTGCCAGGCAAAAAAAGGGCATTTTCTAAGGCTGACACCAATACTCCTCAGTTTCTGTATTAGTGGCCTCAGCCTTCCTTGACACGCAGCCTTGCTTTAGTAGCAGGGAGGAGTGAGGGAGTTTTTGTCAGCAGAGTGATCCAGGAGTTGTGCTCACTGCCAGTTATTCAGACAGCCATCCAGGAAGGGCTTGTTTACCAGAACAGTTTTCTTCAGCGATTTCCCACCTCAGAATGGAGCGTGATACTTTTCACATCTGTTGTGAGCACTATTTATAGCTGAGCAGTGAGAAATGTGCTTGCAGCAGAACTGACAGTCATTTGATGCAATGTATGATTTCTCCTCAACCCCAGATGTAACAAAACACAACCTGCAATATACATTTTATCTATAAGCACAATTAATCTCATTGATTCTCATGATCTCTTAGCCTGTTAATAAGGTGGGGAAATATTGCTTGATAAGTAATAGGTTGAGGAAGGATGTTTCTGAATCACTGCTTTACTTACTGTGGACACATCACTTTGCCTCTTTGTGCTTGGTGAAGTCCCTAGGGATTATTCCATCTTCCTGAAAAAGCTGAATAAGGACAGATTCAGGTCAGGATGTTCTGGAGATAAGAATGTGATCTGTACTGTGCAATATTAGTGTCTTTTCATAATGGTTCCTAATGTGCATTTTTAATATTTTTGAAAAGACAATTTGTTATTTTTCAATCTATCAGTACATGCATAGCATTTTCTGTCATTCCTAAAAAACACAAGTTTGTTTTTAGTCCAAAAATTTGACCTTAAAGGACTTATGGTGTAAATGTTTCTTTATCACTGGAGAAAGTCTGTGTTCGTGAAATGCAAGTTGGCAATGGATGGTGTGAAGCTACTTGGATGAAGCTTGGTAAAGATGTAATATGTCCACTTTCATCTTCTGGATATGTGTCCAGTGTCCAAATAAAGGAGAATGCAGGCTCATTCCTTATCTCCGTGGATCACCAGTCACATCACTTTGTGATGCATGGATCAAAACCGAGGCCAAGAAGGTGGGAAGACAGGTTAGACATTCTCCTTCCTGCACCCTGCTTATCTGGGTTTCTTTCTCCCCTGTGGTACATGCTACCTGTACTCCCATGGGGTAGCAATGACTGTTTTGACAGGGCACTACGCAGGGACAGCAGGAGAAAGAGGCCGGGCATCCTTGCAGCATACAGTCCTTGCAGCATACCATGCAAGCACTGACTGCAGCTTTGCAGTTATTCTTGTTGACAAGCCCTTATTTGTACAGGATATTGTAATAGTGGTTTACAAACATTGTGATTGAGATAGTTGGTGTGATAGCTGGACCTCAAAGCCCAGTGCCCTGTGGCACTGTTGAAGGTGTCATCGAGGCTAACTGTCCTGACTGTCCACCTGCTGAGGGGCACTGAGAACCTGCTGTGAGAGGAGGCTACACCCATGACTGTGTCTCTGAGCTGTGCCTTGTAGGTGCAAGGGTGGCTTCACTGCTGTTCTGGGGATTCTTGTACACAGGGGTGCACCAACCCTCCGGCTTGCAGACCCTCGGTGGCAGAGCTGGTGGTGGTGGCATCTCCACAGCTTGCCTAGTAAGGGGCCCTTGCATCAGTGAGCACCTCTATGCCATCTTATCCTTACTCCATGCACAGGCACAGTCTCTATTTGCAAGTTCAGACAAAGTCAACACTTGGGAAATAGTGGGGAGGCCTGACACTGTGAGGCCTGCATCTGGCTGTGACCATCGTTTCTGCCTCTACTTCCCAGACCCCGTGTCTTATGTAGGGTTGCACAGTAGGCTCATACCATCGACATAGTGTGTAAAATAGGAGGATGAGTGATGGATGACTTATTGCACACCACAAAACCAGTGCCCCAGGATTTTCTCTGTGGATACCCGTAGGAGGTACAGTGATATATGCTGGGAGTGACTCAAACATATTTGGTGTGCAGGCATGCAGGATATTCTGGATGCTCTCAGAAGCTTTCTGTCTGAGTGGTGTAGACACAAGTACCACCTAAAAAGTGAGACTTCTGTTTTCATCTCATTGGCAGAATACGAAATTCAAACCAAATCCACCTCTGTCCTTAAGGTGCTTCCAGACAGCACACTAAGATTTCCTGACTTGAACAGAGCACATGAAATATGGGATCAAGTTTGAGTTTTCCAGATTGAACCAGGATCTAGTCAGGAAAAAAAAAGGACATTGTGTTTGTAATAGGAAAGGGGTACTTGGCTAAGGGGGTGTGGTATATGTTTGTGAAGCCTTCAGACTGTGTGCAGGATGTGTCTCAGGTATGCATTTTCAATGCCAGTAGGCATGTGCTTCTTAAATCCATCTGCCCACCTGAGCAAAACCTGTACTTGCAGCCTGAAGGTCTGCTATATACACCTTGTGTGTCCAGGATGTATACAGGGTTTGAGTGGAAAGTTGCCCATGAATGGATAAAAACCAGACAAATTATAGGAAAAAATGTTGAAAGGAAAGAAGTGGAATTCTGGAGGACGAGGAAGACAAACAACACAGGGGCAGTCTAGCAATGTGACAAACCTAGAGGCAGCTCTAAAGCTCCAACACAATTATTCCTGGACCTTGTCATCTTAGCTGCTTTGGTATGTGGTCCAGTAAATGGGAAAAGGAAATAATGATCAGAGCAGCAATAAGTTGTGGTTTTGTACAGCTCACCACAAGCTTTCTCTTTCCTATCAGAAAGTATGTGTACTTGTTTTTAAAAATAACTTTAAAACCTCTCTCAAATATTATTTTTGATGACATTGATTTTTGAGAATCCTGCTGATGAAGTAGAGTAACTTTCTGAAAGAGTCTTTTTTATAGTGCTACATTTTATGAGGAGTCCCTTGTAGCTCACTTTCATTAGAAAATATTATTTATTAGATACATAGATTTTTTTTCTAAGTGCAAGTATCCATACTCACAAGTGTGATCTTGTGAACACTTTTTATAGTCTATATTTCCCATTGTGAGTAAAGTTGTGTGAATGACTTTTGAGTTTTATGAGTGCACATTAACAGGGACAGGTGAAACATTAGCTGCTTTTAACAGCAGCTATTCTTTGTTATTACCCATTATTTTAAGAATAGGAAGTGTGTTTTATGAAAGAGAAGGACTTTCAGACATAGTTCTAAGTAGTGAGGGTAAGCTCAGCATATGGCCTTCTCACTGTTCGTGGACTTGGTCCTTCCTACCTTGGTGTGCAGAATTTCTCTTGGTCTTGGCATAACTTTTCCACCCAGATAGAGAGGTCTGTTTAAGAGTGCACGTTTGCTATTAAGACACTATAAAGACCTGGAAATTAAAGACATCACAGGCTTAATTAAACACTCCTATGTTATTCCTCTCAGAAATATTAAGGTAAGAAGCGACAAAGAATTGGAGGCTACAGCAAAGTAGACACTATTTAAATATAGTTATGTCAGAGAGGATGGGGACTACCTTCCCTCTTAATGGCACAAGATATAATTTTCATTATTTCAGCTCTCTGAGTAACTTAGAGGAGTGTCATCCAGACTGCTTAAAGGATTTGCCTTCGTGTGGTATGCTGACACATATATCCAACCTATAGGTTAGTTGATAATCATGTTTTTATGATATAAATATCATCAACAGTATTACGTAACTAATGATCTACTGAAAAGTTCAAAGTGGTAAAGAAAGTGATAAAAATTGATATTTCTGAAATAACAGCCATGTCAGAGCTACAGGGTGCAGAAATTGATTTTATTTTATTTACATTTTAGTATGAAAAAACAGAAAATTGTTGAGCATGCAGTAACCTTAGAAGCCAATGCAATATGGACTGCTCACAAAGGCATTCACCTTTTGTGTGTGTAATTAATAATTAAACTCTAATATCTTTGGATCAGTGAAGTATTTGAACAGAAAGTAGTGGTCGACTAAAAAATCGGTGAAAAGCATGGGTATTTTCCCTTTCCATTCCTCTGCGGTAGTCACTAGAATGATGCCGAGTTAAAAGAATTTTGAATCCTTGTTTATGGCATTCAATTTGCTTTCATTTTTCATATTCATCTTACATTACAACACTCTTAATAGACATATATATTTATTACCAGAGTCTATGCAATAGAGCAAGTGTAGAAAGTTGTGTACTGTTTGATTATTATACTTTTTGTGCAATATTTATGAGATATACTAAATCAAAAGTGTGCTTCAAAACAGGATCGATACAGAAAACCAGTCCTCACTGTTTGGCTTACTCCTCCTTAAAGTTTCTAACAATCAGGAAAAATCTCTGTAAGTCTAATACTCGTTGCTTAGTTGGCCTTTCACACTGAATTATTTCTGCCACCTCTAACCCAGTTCTTCCTTATTGCAATGTTTTCTATTTTTCAGAGATTGTGGAAAACAATTCATTATCTGCTGTCACGAAGAATCCTGAAAATTTGAGAACTGTTATCAAATCTTCTCCTAGTCTTCCCCCTCCTGGATTAAGCAAGCTCAGTTCTTGCAAAGTCTTATGCAGGATAACTTTTTTTTTCCCCTTGAGTTCACTCTTATTTCTGTTTTTGGGACTTTCTCCAGCTGGTCGATGTATTGTATCATACTGACATGTGATAACCTGCAGTGATCACAGGGATCCAGGTAAAGAATTACCAGCTCTGAGTAGAATGGAAGGAATATTTTGTGTGCTTAACATAAAATGTACTAATTTCCTCTAAGCCAGCATGATTGCTTCTTACGCAACTGTATGATTTTATTGCTTGTTTGTGATCTATTCTAATTGTCAGATTCTTTTCTACACTGTTTGTGTGGTTAGTCATTCTCCATTTTATATTTGTTCAGGTAATTTCACTTGTACATGTATCTGTGAATTAATTTAATTGCTTAGCTGGATTCAGATTTCTGCTGTTCACCAAGATAACTTAAAGTGTACATTCTGTACTCCAAAAGATTTGAAGTCTTTTTAGCTTAGTGTATTTTAAAATGCAAAGAGCATCTTAATCATCTACCAGTTCATTAATGAATATGTCATACAGCTTCCTGCAGAACCTGACCTGATGTGTCTTGCTCATTTGAAAATGAATCATTGATAACTATTGATGACTAATTCTGTGAATGGGATTTCCCAAATAACTATCTTAAATCTACTTGTCTATGTGAATGTCCTGTGAGATGTCAAAAGCCAGAACATGCATGACAGTATTTATTCTCCTCTGTCCTTAAAGCATCTTATCTACTGTAGAGAGAAATAAATTTGCTCTGACATGATTTATTTATTAAAATTCATCTTGTCTCTTACATACTGGTTATATTCAAGATTCTTAAAAATAGACCTTTTCATTATTTGCTCTGATATTTTTCTGGTAATTGAAGTGAGACTCTCTTCTTTTTGACATTTTAAAAGTAAGTAAATATTTGCTCTTTCTAGTCTTCTGGAATCTGTACTCCCAAAGTTGCTAAAGATAATTGCTAGTGGCTATATATTGTTTTCTGTTTTCTCAGCACTGAATTACACTTAACCTAGCCAACTTGAAAATTACAATATTATCTATGTGAATTCTACATAATTCTTTCACTTTTTTATCCTGATTTTCACTCTTCTATTTGTGATTTTAATGAGATTGACTATGACATTAAAACTGATCTGTAAGCAAAGGCTAAAGCAAAAAGATCACGGAACACTTTCCAGATATAGTGATAATGCTGTAACTGTGATAGCTTAAGAGTATAAGCAAGCAAATGCTGTGGGAAAAAGACACTCTCTTTTATTAATCCAATTGATATAGCTGGAAAATAGGCAAACATCTGTCTCTGGAGCAGGGTTTGTGTTCCTGAAGACTTTTTTTTTTTTTTACTACTTAATTAGTCTAATAATAGATATAAGTTCACTTCCCAAATCCTGTCTTAGAATCAATGCTTTAACCCACTTGCTAGTAATTAACTGTATTTTGTTGTTAACTATTATCTTCATTTTTTCTCTTGTTAATAAAGCACTTAAAAGTCTTTTCTCATGATGTATTATTTCCCTTTCAAATTCTGTCACAGGTATGCTCCTGAGCCCATAGGATTTCTCTTATGGGTTTGTGCCATCCTTTTATACTGTCCTTCAGTAATTTCTGCTACTTCCATAATTAATTGGATTATACATCTTTTTATGTGTCTTTCCTGGGTATTGGAACATTGAGGAATGCATGATCAGGCCAGACCAGTATCCTAGAACACTTCACACATTTCCTTCAGACAAAGGTAGCTGGTGTTGTACAGATGCTGCTATATCTAAAGCAAAGGATGAGAACTCAAGAAGTGCTTGCAATTTAAAAAAGTAAAATAAGACATGAGGGCTGATAATCTGGGATGAGAAATAAAAAGGATACTGATGGTTCCTCTTTTAATGTACTTTTGGTTCACTGCAAAGTAATACTAAAACAATAGAGGAAAATATTGCAACTACCTGAAATTCACTATAGGTGACTTATTGATTCCATACATTGTTTTTGGTTTTCTTTCCCTTCTAATTTAATCATGAAGAAGGACTAGAAAAACTGGCATGTTAACGACACTAACATTTTAATGACATTAAATACCTATGTGGACTTTGAGACATACATCCAGAGGAAACGGATTTTTTTTTTTGTCTATAGAATTATGAATTTGGCGATCATGGGAAAAAATGTGTGTTATAGCAATGGATCCTTTGATAGCTATGTGTCATGCAATTCTCCCAAACTAAAATACCTATAGCTAAAAGTTCCATAAGGGCACAGTTACTGAGGGCATCCTAACCAAGTGAAGAGAAAAGCAGGTAGAGACACGGGATGTTTCTGAGCAGCTGTCATGCTTCATTGCTGAAGCGGCAATTTTTCAGCTGTATGT